CTCGTCCATCACAGAGGTCCTCAGGAGGATTCGCTATCCTGCTTTGATCGATCCTCGATCTCAACGGGGGAAAATTGGGAATGCCAGCACCCTCCCTAGGTGCATGAACCATTGACGACGCACGATGGAATAACTATGACTTGACATAATCCATCATTATAGTTTGCACTTACGGTTCACTTTACGTGGACTGAGCATGCATTGTCGTCCAAGCGCGACTGTTGGTGATCCCACAAGTTCGAGTTATTCCCCTCCCAAACGTACTTAACACGACAGGTCAATAACGTTACCGTTAATAAGGCTCGTCATAAGGGAAGTGGATGAGCACCGGAATCAGTAGTACTGACATCGAGCAGTCGAAAGGTTGGATCGCTTATTCAAATCCCATGACTCACTCGTGAGTCGCGCGGTGGAGCTCGTTAATCTCATTTACTATACATTAGATTAGATATATTGACCTATCAATAGATATTCATTTATTGGCCATTGTTATATTAGTTTATCGTGCACATACGTTTCCACGAGACCAATGCATAGGGGAGTGGAACTGTCACTTTCACCAACACGGACACCAAATCTTCCTGGACAACCGGCACTTTTCCGAATACACGATTGAACCTGGGAAAGGCGAGAGTTGGCTCGCTCTCTTCTTCAGTTGGCTCTGTCGGAGCCCAATTGAAGAATCTCCAGAACAAGAAGCAGCATGTGCGCCTGGTGCAAGGTGGAGCTTGCTTCTCGAATGGGAGAATCAACCTAGTACAATGCCCGATGGTGATGCTCTCTATGTATAAGGAGTATCTAGCAGAATGATGGCTCCTCGAGATGCTTATCCTCTACAGTTCGGTACCTCAGAAATCAACCAGTTTGGTTCGAAGTTCGATGGTGCGGCCTCCATTGTTCAGGCTTTCCCTATCGTGTGATATTCCAACGATCGTAGTACGATCATCGCACGTCGATGAGCTACCTCCCTCGTGGCCTCCAACGATCGCCCGGGAGCTCTTCACCGTCACCAATGCGCAAACACAGTCTAGAAACTTTGCTGAGGCCGCTCACTTCCGAGAGGATTGAGAACACTGCAAGGTTCTCTTGAAAAAGGTAAGACATAAAAATACAGTGGTGAATGTATCAGAAGGCCTCGTTTGAAGAACACCAATTGAAACTTCGATGACTATCCGAATATCCTCGCGAAGAAGGATTGTTCACGGCGACGACTCTCTCGTTCCTTCACAGCGATCTCGTGCCGGAGCTTCCTTATCTCATGGAGACCTGAAAGGGTTACACTTATGCCTTCCAACATAATCAGTTATTGGCCCTGTGGACATGGAAGGGTGATAGCAGCCAACAGAAAGTGCCTACCAGAGGGTCCGATATCCCGATGATGCTCAGCAATACTCAAGTCGTCTCGACAGCCATTGAAGTCGTTCAGCTCGAACTTACAGCGTGCTCGTCGCAAGATGGCTTTCAGTAGATAAGGCTCAAGCTCGAGCGCCGAGTTACCTACAAACGATACCAGAGGATTCGCATCAACAATGCGAGATGTTGCTCTCACTAGCCGCGAGACCATCCGCCCAACTGGACAACTTTATATGGCAAGCAGTCATGTTACTGTAGGTAATCGCCGCACACTCCCGCCTGAAAACCGATGACACGATGCCTCGAAAGCCACGCACCGAGTAGCCTCAGTACAACAAACACTCACCGTTCCCTTTCCAATTCATCGCTCTCCTCAGTAGAATTGTATCGTAGTAAGTCTAACACCTCGCTATATAACACTAGAGCTGTCTGATACCTAATTGAAGGGAATACACAGCAACATCATGCAGGAATCTTACCGTGATTCCCGGAAGGCATCATTGGCATGTTGTCTCTTACTATTAGCTCTGTCTATCCGCCCTCTGATCTCCTCTATCGTTATGATCGTCGTTGGCGCCTACAAATCAGACCAGTGTACCAAACGTCAAAGTTCGCCGAGGTGTGGTATCCTCGTCGCACCTCATCCTCTCGCTGAGAGCCGAACAATCGAGATCTCAGCGGTCGAGAGAGGCCACCATTGAGTAAATTGTTGCTACAGTCGCGCTTCAACGTATCTGCCCACAAAGACTATCATCACCTCGAGGGAAGGGCAAGCAGTAGCTGACGTCGGATAGTCCCAGTGTGCCACAGCTTAACGTCGCTGTCTATACCGCTAGTTAGTAGGAAAGGTTCTCCTAGGGGATGAGGGGCTGAAGCAACAAGGAAACCCTACATGTACTACCACGAGCGGACGCGTTCACAGAAGGAAGTTAAGAAGGAGTGGTATCACGCGACTCACCCACACAATTAACGACGAACGTATCGGCTTTGATCTTCCGCTGAAGCCGCTGCGTACAGCGATCCCAGATGTATACATGGCCGCAATCTCCTCCCGTTGCGACGTATCTACTATGACCTCAGCAATGGCCAACTGCAGGAAAGGGTACTCACCGGTCTCCATTCAGCATGCAACATTCCTTAGCGAAGGTCTCCTCATTCCTCCTCCCAGTGTAGACCCTCAGGTTAGAAGTCTCCACTGCTACCACACTCTTGCTGCCCATGGACGACGCCGGGGACGTAGTCGGCCTCGTAAGCTCAACCTATACAACTGAACGATAATAGACGCCCTTTCACTAGATGGCCTTGGCCAACCCACCTTATCCAAGCTCTTGATCTCATACATATCAGAGCCTCTGTAGTTGAGGAGGAGGCTGTTGCCATCCTTGGACCACCACAGGCCAGATAGCGCTAGATCGTCGGGGTCGGTAGCATCTGCTGGAGGCGTGGTAGTGACGAGCACGCAGGCCACTGAGCGCACCTTCCATCACTGTCTCGGGGTAGAACTGT